TAAAATGAGTTGGACAAGGAAATGGCAAACCACTCCAGTATCTTTGCTAAGAAAACCCCAAATGGGATTAAGAAAAGTTGGTCACGACGACTGAACAAAAACAACAAAGTTTAGGGAGAGAGGGCATTAGCCTCTCGAGGAGGCTTCATGTAGAAAGTGGGTCTTGAGCTGTATCTTGAAAAAAAGAGAAGAATTCTATAAGATGAAAGGTGAGGAGAGAATGCATTCCAGAAATGGGGGCAGCCAGCGTAAAGCATGGAAACTGTAAGTTGAGTATTCTGTGTGTGAAGAACGAGGAGAAGGTCAGTTTAGGCTGGAGGGAGAATGCATTACTGTAAGCCTGGAAAGATAGGTTGAGTCTAGGGCTTTAAAAGCTAAACAGAGAAGTTTATATTGTATTCTGAAAGCAATAAATAGGAAGAGGCACTGGAGTTTAAGTAGGGGACTGACAGTGGTCTATAAAGCATGGATTGTAACGGGTTGAGATTTGAGTCAGGAGGCTGTTGAAATAGATTAGGAAAGAGGTGATGGCATGTTTTAGATCTAATCTAAAACCTTTGCATCAGATCTCAAATCCATGGATGTATCAAAGTATCGTGTTTCCCCTCTTTTAGCTCCTTTACACAAATCTAGAGTCTGAACTGAACTGAATTAAGGTTTGCCTGAGAATCACTTAGCGTTAGAATGGCTATAGCATTAGCACCCCAATTTAAAATTCCTTCATGCAACTGGTACAGTGGAAGAGAACTCTTAAGTTTGAATCAAATTCTGCTGAATCATTCCATCTCTCTGGGTCTCAGTTTCCTCATCTGGAAAATGAAAAAGGCTTGTCCTAACTGATCTGTGAGGTCCCTTCTAACTCTAAAGATCTGATGATTTTAGGGGCAGCTAGGTGGTGCAGTGGATAGAGCACTGGCCCTGAAGTCAGGAGAACCTGAGTTCAAATCTGGCCTCAGACCAAACACTTACTAGCTGTGTGACCCTGGGCAAGTCACTTAACCCCAATTGCCTTAAAAAAAAGATTTGATGATTTTATACTGTCAAGTGGAAATGACAGGTCATTTGGGGAAGAGAGGTTCTTTAGTGTTGAAATGTTGTTGTGTAGGCTGGGGTAAATAGGGTCTGAAGTTAATACTGTGCCACCATTGAAATTAAGGTAAACTGAGGCACAAAGTTCGAAGTATGTTCAATTTGTTTGTAAGGCTAGTAGTTAACAATGAAAAGGGTCCCTCAGCTCCCCAGCAAGCCAGAAGACCCTAAATCAGGGCAGACAGATCATTTCTGTGGATAAAAGGAGAATTGAAAAAATAGAAAGCAGCATCATAGATGGAGAAATCAATATGATTGGTTACAAAGCTTGTAGCATCACAACAAGTGTGAGGAATAATATAATTGGCTGGAAATTGGGAATGAAAGGGACTAGTGACAACCAGAAGTTTTCACTGTTTCAATCCACCGGCTAGGGGAGGTTAGCACTAGTGGACCAGACTGTCTTGGATAACAGAGCAGACTTCCTGGCATCCACCTGCATCCTTCAAGGATAACAGACTTCTTTGAGACAAGAATAAAACAGTGGTTAGCAGGAAAACTGAACTTCTAAACTTAACTCAGAGACAATGAGTGATTTACAAGAAAGCTGAATTTCCAAACTGAACTCTGAGACAAATGAAACATGACTTAGGCAGTTAAAAAACGCCTGTGGTGATACCGAATGAAAACAGTAACAAAATAGAATCAGTTACAAAAATGGAGATAATGTCAATTTAATTTTTTAACTGTGATGATGATGACTAGGAGCTGACATTTACATACACTTTAATGTTTGCAAAAGCATTTGACAAGCATTTTCTTATTCACTTCTCACAACTGCCCTGTGAAGTAGGTACTGTTTTTATTCCTATTCTACAGATAAGTAAACTGAGGTTAGAAGATGTTAACTGATTTGCCCAACTGTTTGAGGTGGGATTGGAAGCCAGCTCTTTGTGACTCCCAATTCCAGTGTTCTCCCTGCTTTGCAGATTTCTCATTTGCCCCCAGTGCTGCAATTGTTTTGCCATAGGGGCTTGGCCAAATCATACCAGTGTTGGTGAAAAGTGAGGAAGATAATTTGAAATAACTGTAAAATACTTTTTTTTCTGGGTGATTTAATCATTTTAGTAATAATGCAAGCATTTTAATAAAAGGGTGGTCATTGGGCCATTTCTCTCTTAGACCAAAGACAGTCATGGTGGCAGGTTCACAGCTTCTGTGCCCTTTTGGAAGAGGAGTGTTCTGGAAGATGGCAGTCAACTCTGATTGGCTAACAGTTAATGAGAAACTGAATATTACAGTGTGGTGCTAGACCTGAACTTAGATTATTTCATTTACTTCTAAATTAGCCCTAGCCTTGGGCCATCTATTCAAAGAATTTATCCCCACCCAAACCTGAGTAGAACACTGTAGGGTGAGGTCTGGATAGAGGAGATTATCTCAACTTTCAGAGACTGAGGTCTTGAAATGAGGATAAAAGAAAAAGGGGGAACTCTGAATCTCCCCAAATCATTGGTTATTAATAATCATTTCTCTCATTCCCCCATTTGATTCTGTTGAGTGATTTGAATCACTAACATATGGCAAACACTTCCTAAGGGGTTTCTAACTATGGAACTTAAGGGGGAGACAGTGCAGGGGGAAAAGGGAATGGACAGATGCGTTGGCTGTCAAGGACTTTTAAAAATCTTTAGATGGGAAATGCTCTGTAAGTAAGCCTTAAGAACAGTTTCAAAAACCCTTTGGCCCTCAAAAGTCTCTCTAGTTTACAAACACTATCCTTCATCCAACATCAATTTGTTCAACTATTTTCAATGAAGTAGACAGTTGTAGTCTCTGTGGAAGGGCTAGACATCTAAAATACAGGTGTGGGAAATAGAGCATGAGCACACCAATTAGCATAATGGCACTAATGGTGTAACAAACATATCTGCTAGTGTAAAATCAAGGGTTTCTATAAATGCTGAGTGATTGCAGAGTAAGAGATTGATCAGAGCCAGGTGGAGGTTGAAAGCTGTTGGAATCAGGAAAGACCTGGTTATCAATCCTGCCTTTAATATTTACTAGCTGTGAGACTGTGGGCAAATCACTGCCTCTCCTGTACTGAATGAGCATAGTGACAGCTTCTATTTTTTGGGTCTTTAGGGCTATGTACTTGTCAGCTAATATTCCTTGAAGCAATGGATTTTGTAGGAGGTAATGGACATAGATTGGCAGAAAGGACATTCCAGTGGTAGAGAGAACAAGCCTACCTACCTTTAGTGACCCTCATTCCTATGTATCTGGAAATCTTTTCACCACCCCTCCCCAGAGCAGCTGCTGAAGACATTATGGGTGTATTCACAATTACAATCCAATTCAGCCAATGTTTATTAAGCCTCTGCTATGTGAAAGGCACTTTGTATAGTGCTGGAGACCAAGATTCAGTGGGAAATTAGATATAGATCTATGGAAATCAACTTTAAAAGATCTGACAATAGAGTCTTAATAGCTGATATTTCCTTTTCTTTTAGATGAATGGGGATAATAAGGGGTAGCTAGATGGCACAGTGTTGGGGGTCTGCAGTCAGGAAGACTCATCTTGGAATTTAAATCTGGCCTCAGACCGCTGTGTGACCCTGAGTAGGTCACTTAACCCTGTTTGCCTCAGTTTCCTCATCTGTAAAATGAGCTTCAGGAGGAAATGGCAAACCATTCCATTGTCCCTGCCAAGCAAACCCTACATGGGGTCATGAGGCATCAGACACAATTGAAATGACTGAACAATAAAAAAATGAGCAGGGATAATAACATAATGCTTACCTCTCAGGGCTGTTGTGAGGAAAACACTTTCTAAATCTTAAAGTGCTACAGAAATGTGTCTTGTTATTATTGTTAGTTTCCTTTCATCCCTATGTTGATTTCTTTTAAGCTTGGGTCACTTAGACTTGTGTTTGTTTTCTTTAAAAAAAATTTTTTTTATTGACAATACCTTCATTTCAAATATATTTCTTTTTCTTTCCCCACCAAAGAGTTATCCGTTGTTACAAAGAGTAAAAACAAGAGGGAAGAAGCAAAGGTTCAGCAACATCAACTGAGTCAAATAGGCAGTTTTCCACACCCATAGTATAATTCCCTTCTGCATATGGAGGAGGGAGGTTCATTTTTTTAATCTCTTCTTTAAGACCAAGTTTGGTCATTATAATTGTAGAGTTGTTTCCCTTTTTTTTTTTAAATATTACTCTTTCAGTTTTCATTGTAGTGGTTACTTGTATATATTGTTTTCCTGGTTTTTATTACTTCCTTTATCAGTTCATCTGAGTCTTCCCATGCTTCTCCATGTTCTTCATATTCATTGTTTCTCTTGGCTAAGTAATACTCCATCATATTGATACACAACAGTTTATTTAGGTATTCCCCAGTCCACGGGCAGCTACTTTGCTTTTAGTTCTTTGCTGTTACAAGAAATGCTGTTAATGAATTTTGGAATCTTTCTATAACTTCCTTGAGGGCATATGCCCAGCAGTAGAATCTCTGGGTCAAAGAATATGGACATTTTAGTTGCTTTTTTAAATATAATTTCACATTGCTTTACAGAGTGGTTGGGTCTTTTTTGTTTGCAGGAATGCAAATATAAAGTTTGGTCATTATTGGAGTAATTACAGTGATTAGCTAGGGGGAGATGAAACAACTTTTGTCAAATATCAATCGTTTACCATTTGGGAAAGAAACACAGTTTTCTAGACAGCTGTAGAATGCTAGATTGCTTTGGCAGAGATAATTTATTAAATGTTTCTAGGTTCCCTAGATGAATTATTTGCTTCCCATGAGTGGTTAATATCCAAAGGGGAGTTGACCTACTCGGATATATTCACCAACTCAGACACATACCTTATTGGTTGACTGGGATAACCGTGGAGGGAAGAAGAATTCCTCCAGTTTACACATCTGGGGCTTTGGTGTCATATCTAATATGTCTTTAAAATCCACAGGCAGATGCTGGTCCCAGCTCTGGGAAGAGGGTGTGTATCGTTGATGAGATTGGGAAAATGGAACTCTTTAGTCAGACTTTCATTCACACTGTGCGTCAGACTCTCTCCAGCCCAGGGACTGTGATCCTTGGCACAATACCCATCCCTAAAGGAAAGCCATTGACACTCGTGGAAGAAATAAGAAACAGAAATGATGTTAAGGTGTTCAATGTAAGTATAAACAGTTCTCTGTTGTCTCTATCGTGTAAGAAGAGAATGACCCTAACAGCAAGGAGTCCAAAAATAATTTGTATCAATGTTGGGAGTGCCTTTTTACACTTAAAACTTAATGTGGGTGTGTCTGACTTTCTGGGAATTCATAACATTTCAAATCAAATCATGGGGCTACATCACAAAGATCAGACCAGTGTCAGGAGAAGTTGGAACTCTCCCGAGGTTTCTCATCCTGCTTTTTTGCCTGCACGCCCTCCTTACCTCTGCCCCTTGGAATATTTAATTTCCTTTAAAACTCAACTCAGATGTCACCTCCTACATGAGGCTATTTCTGATTCCTTCAAGCTGCTAGTGTGTCTCCCTAAAGCTATCTAATATTTATTTTTTATACACAAAAAATGTATACATGTTGTTTCATCCTAAAGAATATAAGCTTCTTGAGAACAGGGACTTGTTTCGTTTATGTCTTTGTATTTTCAGTGCCTAGCACATCATAGGTGTTTAATAAATGCTTGGTAATTAACTAATAGTTCCTAGTGTTGGAAAGTGTGCTATAACGGAAAGACTGATAGACTTAGAGTCAGGAGACACCCAGGTTCCACAGTTACTATTGTTCCATCATTTCAGTTGTGTCTGACTCTTCGTGAGTCGATATGGGATTTTCTTGGCAGAGATGCTGAAATGGTTTGCCATTTCCTTCTCCAGATCACTTTACAGATGAGAAAACTGAGGCAAACAGGGTTAAATGACTTGCCCAGGGTCACACAGCTAGTAAGTGTCTAAGGCTGGATTTGAACTCAGGAAAGATTTGACTCCAGGCCCAGTGTTCTATCCACTGAACCACCTAGCTGCCCCACAGGTTCCACAGGACCCCTACCAATTATAAACCTTTCATTTCTTCTTATCTCACTTCTATTGGAGACAACCCATTGATTATCAAAGGCTATCCCAGCAGACTGTCTCCACTGGTAGCTTCCACTGAGCTCTAGAGACCGTGAGAATGGGCCTTGCATGATCTTTTATCCGTTGACTGGCCAAGTTAAATTTGAAGAGGGGCATTACCAGAAGGCTCCAAGCTGCTGAATTTTTTCAGCTGCATCAACTCACAAAACTCTGCTGGGCCATAGTGGAATGTGATCAGCATGTGTGTCTCCCCCACACTGATAAAATCATGGATCCCTGAAGTGTAGAATTACCTTGTTTTCTACCGTCTTTCTTTCTTTGCTTGGTCTTCCTTCCTTCTCCCTTATTTTATTTCCTTTTCCATTCCCAGTTGGTGGTAGTACTTAGAGCTGACTGCTAAGAGACAGTGATGAAGATTCAAGTTGACTATTAATCAACCTGCTTAAAGTCATCAGTCACAATGGTAGCTGTAGTCAGTATGACCACAGAGCCAGCTGTTGACCCTCAAGGTTTCCTGAAGTCATGAAAGCACCCAAAAGCCATGAAGACTTAGGCCAGCCTGGGAAGGAGGAGCAATCTTGGTTAACATACCTAAATGCTCAGCTTACTTTCCAAAAACAACAGGATTTCAAATTCTATTTTCTTTCTAACATTTTAGAGAGCTCAGACACTCACTGCTCTTTCTCTTATGGGGCCTCCTAGATAAGGAGTTTTCTGTGATGAATATAGTGTTTCTAGGGAGATAGGCAGCGGAAGATGATTGGTTATAAAGACAGATTAAGTTATCAGAAGGTCAGTAGGTCTGGAAGCCATGAGAACTGCCAGTGTTAGAGCATGAAACAGAAGTGAATAAACTAATCTAATCAGGAGGGCCTAACAGATCAGGCAAATGGGGATGGTCCGTTGACTTTTAAGTCTAGAAGTTAAGGTTTCCTTGAGATAATGGCAGCATTTTCTTCTCTCTAGGATAGAAGTTAAGATAATACCAAAATTTTTACCTTCTGGGATTAGAAATTAAGACAATACCAACATTTTCTCCTCTCTAAGATTAGAATTAAGACAATGCCTACATTTTTCCCTCTCTGTGATTAGAAATTAGTCTGTGACTAGCCCTGTATTCTTAAGAAAGGCCCTGTTTTCTCCAAGTATTCGTGTCCTCCTTATGTTCCTTTGGGGTCTGTGTGTGTTTCCTTGTAACCAAATTGAAAACAAGTTATATAAACATGTGACAAGTATCGATTATGTCCCTGTCACGTGTCTGGCCCTGTGCTAGGTGATACAAATACAGTGAATGAAAACATCTGAACTTGTGTTTATATTGTAATTGAGGAGAACAAGTACATATATGAGTGTAAAGAGAATAAAGGTAAATAGACTATGTTAAAAATAGTTGAAGATAAGGTAATTTGGGAGGAAGGGCACTGGCAGTTGAGGATTCAGGAAAGATATCATGTGAAAGGTACTGCTCGAGTTGCATTTTTTTCTTTTTGGTTAGGCAGTTGGGGTTAAGTGACTTGCCCAGGGTCACACAGCTAGTAAGTGTCAAGTGTCTGAGGCCAGATTTGAACTCAGGTCCTCCTGACTCCAGCTCCAGTTGCATCTTTTGATCCTCATAACAACCCTGTGAGGTTAGTGTCGTTATCATTTTACAGGTGAGGAAATTGAAGCTGAAAGAGATTAAGTGACTTACCTAGAGTCAGATAGTAAATATAGGAAGCAAGATTTGGATTCAGATGTTCCTGATCCCAAGTCTGGTAGTCTACTACACCACCTCAGCCTCAATCATCAAATATTAGAGCTGGAATGGACCCTGGAATGAGACCATCAAACAAAAGTTAGAAAAAGTTATTTTGGATTCTGACTTTTTTATCAATGTGATGTGTGTGCAAGTTATCCCTTCCTTTTTGATTCATCTGCATATTTGATGAGCATACCATCTGTGATCAAATGTGAAGTGCTTTGCAAACCTTAAAGAGTCGTGTAAATGTTAGTTCCCGTATTGATAAAATCATAGATCTAGTCCCAATCTGTATCCCTAGACCTAAAATAAACCCATTTTTTGTTGTCTTTAGCTTCAGCTCATTCTAAGCTTTGACATTCCTATCATTCTTTTTCACAAGGAGCATGTCTCACTCTTATAGTCATTCTCTATTACCTGGCCTTGCTTCCAGGATCTGCACATTTATTTTTACAATCTAAGATGGTTGGGGCAGCTAGGTGGTGCTGTGGATAGAGCTCTGCCTTGGAGTCAGGAGGACCTGAGTTCAAATCCGACCTTAGACACTTGACACTTACTAGCTGTGTGACCTGGGCAAGTCACTTAACCCTGATTGCCTCACCAAAAACCAAAAGAATAATAAAATCAAATCAAATCTAAGATGGTTGAGGAGTTCCCTGTGTAGCCACATTACTGTCTCCCATCACAAATCCCATTTTTCATCTTCATTGGAATTGTTTTCCTTTGTGTCCTCAGAATTTCTGTCCTGAGCATCTCTCATTCTTCCTAGATTGACTTTCCCTTGGTTGCACTTTAGCATCCCTTTGAAAGAGCTAAGTCAATAAGCATTTATCAAGGACCTATTATGTGTCAGATACTTTGGTAAGGCCTGGGGGATACAAAGAAAGGCGAAAAACAGCCCCCTGCTCTCCAGGAGCTCACAGTCTAATGAGAGAGACAATAAACAGACAACTATGTACAAATATGTAGATATAGATAGATGGATGGATGGATAGAGAGAGAGAGAGATAGACAGATAAAGGGGAGATAATCTCAGACAGAAGGCACTAAAGTTAAGAGAAATGGAAAAGGCTTCTTGCAGAAGGTGGGATGTAAGTTGTGTATTAAAGGAAGTCAAGAAAGCCAGGAGGTAGAGGTAGGAGAGGAGTTCTAGGCGTGGAATCATTCCAAGCATAATGTAATTTCCAAATTTATTATTACTTATTGACCTTTATTTTTTTTAAAGTATTTATTGGAATAGAGGGGGAAATCTGTTAAGAATCTTTGAAAATAATTTTTTCCAGTCTTTCTTGGTACGTTACCTAGATCCCAGAGAGTAAGAGTCCTCTGAATCTAGTTTTAGAAATATAATAACAATAGCAACAATAATAATTATGATAATAATGTTATATATGTGATTTAATATGTATGATATATAATTATATGCTATAATAGTTATGATAATGATAACTAACATTTATATAGTGCTTACTGAAGAGGTCTAGAGGTTTTGAGGTGCTGGGAACCCCAAGATCATGGTACTGGTCCCTGTCTGAAAGAATTCAACTCAAATCTTCTTCCAGCCGGAGGAAAAGTTTATTAGTGATAAAACACATAGGCCAGGTGATGCCCGTGAGGACGGGTGGGCATGAGAAAGTCTCAGCCTTTTGGGCTTGAGATTCTGCAGCCCTAATGAGGGCCAGGGGAGATCTTATATACTAAAATGACTCTGGGTAATCAGGGGAGGGTCTGGGAAAAGGGTGTGGATGAGAATTCTGATTGGAAGGTCTGACAGATTGAGTAGACAATGGGAATAGATAATGGAATCAAAAAGGTGGGGCCAAGGCTCTCAAAGGGAGATAAGGGGATAAGGAACCTAAAGTGGGAAGCCAGATTCCCTTTGGGGCAAGGGGTGAAGACCTCAATTTGGGCTGCACCCCATCACTTACTATGTGTCAGGCAGCCAGATGGTTTAATGGATCGTGCTCAGATCCGGCTTCAGATGGTCCTGAGCAAGTCACTCGTCCTCTGCCTTAATTCACTGGAGAAGGAAATAGCAACCACTTCAGTATGTTTTGCCAAGAAAGCTCCATGTGGAGGCACAAAGAAGCAGACACAACTAAACAATTAAACAGCAGCAACAACGTGTCAGCTGTGCTAAATACTTTACTATTATCTCATTTATTATCCTCAAAACAACCTTGGGAAACTGAGGTTAAGTGATTTGCCCAGGGTCATACAGCCAATAAGTGTCTAAGGCCAGAGTTGAACTCAGATCTTCCTGACTCTAGGCCCAGTGTTGTATCCAGTGTGCCACACGGCTGCTCAATATATTTCCAGGTTGCCTAAAGATAATTTTTAATGGTCTAGTATGGAATCTACTTGATATAATTATCTTAGAAAATGGTTATTTGGTTCTAGTAGTCAGTTAAAGAAAAAGATGCCTTTCTTAAGAAAGAACACACACACACACATATATATTATACATATATAAAAATATGGAATCAAATGTATAAATGTACCTACACGTACATACACATATGTATGTATTAGATTTACATGTCTTGGTAACTAACTAACTGGTTGAGATGTTCTTAGCTGTGGCTTATGATTCTCCCCACACATTTATCTATCCATCTACCTGAAAGTCTTTCAAGAAACATTAATTATTCATTGGTGCCTTATGCTTTTGCCCATTACCTGTCCATATTAGCATCCTCATCTGTAAACTCAGGGAGTTGGGCTACATGTCACTAAAGAAATATGATTTGTCCCTAGGAAGTAGGTCTTACTATTAGGAAAATGAGGCATAGAGAGGTAACTTGTCCAGAGTCACCTAGCTCATGAATGTCTGAGTCTAGATTTGAACTCATATCTTTCTAACTCCAGGTCCAGCACTGTGCCATCTAGTTGTGATTAATCAATCCTATTCTATGCCCCCCACCACCACACTGTGCCAGGCTCTCTGGTTTATAAGTATAAAGAATGAGATAATAATAACTCTAAAAGAGCTTTGCATTTTATCATGGAGACAACATAAATAGATAATAAGCATATCCAGAAAAAAAAAACTGACTTCAGAGCCAGGAAAAACTGTGCTTAGATCTAGGCTCTGGGCAAATCCTGTAAGCTCTCAGTGCCCTGGCCCATTCTCCAAGACTCTTAAGTTGAAGAGACGGTCCCAACCAGCACTGGTGATGGATTGTCCTTCTCCAGAAGTCCTTCATACTAGTGAAATCACTATCTTTATCCCTAATTACACTTAGGTAAATAACACTCTCCCAACCCCCTTGTTAATTTGCAGTTATCTCATGTGTTTTTCACTCAATTTATATTAAGTCATATTTATTCTGAGCAATATTGGAGCTGCCCAATACAAAGTCATTCAAATCTGATGGCTAAGGAGATTTCAATGTATTTACATCAATGATGTCAGTGGCTATGTTGTGGAAAAATCAAAATCTTTTGATCATCATCTGTGAAGGGGATCCCAGTGTCTCAGAGACTGTAACAGTGGAGGGTCAGCTCTGGGAAGCCTGAACCCAGCGACAGACTCAGTTGTCTGAGAACCAACTTATCCATGTTGGAAATATTAAAGAAATAATAATCATAGCTGATGTATGATGGCCTTTTGGGGATTACATAGTTCTTTAAATGATCCTATTCGGTCCTCACAATAATACTCTGAGGTCGGAAATATTTTACAGATGAAGAAACTGAGCCTAAGAAGAGAAATGACTTGCCCGTGGTTGCATAAGAAGCAGAAGTGTGTTGTAAATCCCAGACATCCAGTTCTAATTTACTATGCCACACTGACTCTTTAATTATACATCCTCATTCCCTGGGGCATCATCCATGTGACAGAGAAAGAAGTCATAGCTGGCATTCCTTTGGCTGTTTTTTGCCCTTAGGAATCTATAGCTGACCATTTGCGTCAGAAGAAAGTGTGCTCACATCCCTTTCTGTCCTTCTTTTTAGTTTCTTTCTATCTTGTCTCTGTTTCCTGTTTTCCTCCTCTCTGTTTCCTCAGCCCGTTTCTGTCTTGTGTTTCATAAGAGAATGGAGTGTAAGGAATTCCCATGTCATGAATGCCCCCTCACGCCATATGTTGTGAGGTTGGTCTTTGTCCCTTACTGAGACATTATATACTGTCCGTAGCTGATTATTGTTTTCTCAAGATGGAATTTTTCCTTTGAAAAGTCATTCTTTGCATCTTGAAGTCAGAATGTTTTTGAATCCCTCCAGTGTTATTAGAACAGAGGAAGTGAGCCTTGGCTCAGCCCACACAAGAAGCCAGTGGGGATGCGTTAAAATGGCGAGCCTGGTCTTATTTCAGTTCAGAACCCAGGACAGCAAACTCCAGGGAGTTGACCACATCCTCATGTCGTATTATACCAGGGCTTTGGTGTAGTCACTACTACGTTGGCTGGGCCTTGACAGTCTTTTTGCTTTATAGGGATATTTGTTGTAATAAGATTTGAGCCATAAATCTAAAAGAGTGAATGACTGGCTTTCTGGAAGCATATTGATTCTTGTCAGGGCATGGAGTATATTGAGTGCTCTGAGCATCCCTGAGGCCTTTCTGATTCTAAATTTTAAAACCTGTTTTCTTCTACAAAGATCAGGTGTCCTCATCCTTTAGGTTTTATAAATCCCAAAGATGTTCTTAGCCACTACAGAGGTTAAATGTGTTTTTCATGGAAGCATCTCACAAATTCTCGAGAACCACATCAGATGTCTCGCACTGTTTTCCATCATTTGTATAGTAACCCCGACAGCAGTTTGTGGCATTCTCTGACACTCAACCATTAATCTGACAGTTATTATGACATGCCTTCTCTGGGAATTGCATTGCTCTAGGTTCTGGAAAAAAACTACAAAAAAAACCCCATTGTGGTATGGTAGTGTTATAGACTTGGAGTTGGGAAGGCCTGGGTACAAATTATGCTTCTCTGACACTTAATGCCTGTGTGATAGTGAACAAGCCATGTAACCTCTCTGAGACTCAGTTTACTCATCTGTCAAATGGGAATGTTAATAATAGCCATATACTTGTACAACACAAAAATTTAGTGTGGTATAGTGGATAGAATGCTGAGCTTATAGTCAGGAAAACTTCCTTTCCAGTCTTCTTACACCATGCACTGTGCCAACCACTGAAACTGGTTTCTTGCTATCCCCACCACAGTACACTCCATTGCCATATTCCTTGTATTTTCACTGGCTGTTCCCCATGCCTAGATTTTTCTTCTTCCTCTTACTGTGGCTTCCTTGAAGTCTCAGATAAAATGCCACCTTCTACAGGAAGGCTATCCCAATCCCTCTTAATTCTACTGCCCCAGAGATTATCTCCAGTTTATATTTGTATGTAGTTATTTGCATGTTATCTCCTCTGTTAGATTGTTAGCTACTTGAGGACAAGGACTGGTTTTCTTGTCTGTTCCCCCCCCCCCCAGCACTTAGCACAGTGCTTGGCATATGGTGGATGTTTAATCAATTTTGTTGACTTGCCTTGAAGACACCAGCCACGTGACCATGGTCGCATCATTTCAGACAACTCCATAGGAGTTACATACCCAGCCACAGATAGGTTGGGGTCTATTGGTAAGGCAAGTTGCTATGTTGGAGAGATAAAATCACAGAGATTCCCATACTGTCTACCTCAGGGTTGGCCCAAATGAGATCATGTTTACAAAGTGCCTTCATAGATTCAAATGTTATATAAATATCAGCTACAAATTATGATTGTTACAGAATTAAATCAAATATAGTGCCTTCCCTGAGGAGCCTAATAAAGCCTAAGGGGATCATAGCCTTGGAGCAGAAAGAGATCTTAGAAACCCTCTAATCCAACCTTTTGATTTTATAGATGAAGAAACTAAGAATTAGGAAGGCTGAGTGAATTACCCATGATCACACAGGCAGGATCTGAACCCAGTACCTCTGGTCGCAGAACCAGGACTCTTTCCACTGTACCATGTTACCTCTTAGATAAATGTTGTCTTAGAGGGTTGTCTGCTTGTTTCTTATAAGTTTTTCTCCCTGTGCAAAGTATAATCTTCTTGAAAAAGCTCATATCCTTAAGCCCATTGCATGATTGCTGTGGATTCTTTTGCAGTCGTGTTCAACTCTTTGTGATCTTATTTGGTGTTTTCTTGGCAAAGACAGTGGAGTAATTTGCCATTTCCTTCTCCAGCTCATTTTACAGATGAGGAAACTGAGGCAAGCAGGGTTAAATGACTTGCCCAGGGTCACACAGCTAATAAGTGTCAGAGGCAGGATTTGAACTCAGGAAGATGAGTCTTCCTGACTCCAGGCCTATCTACTGTACCACCTGGCTGCCCCCAACAGAGCACATAGTAGGCATTTAATAAATATTGATTGATTTGCAAGTATTGATGCTGAGAACAGACATCAGTATCTTCAAAATGATGTGTTCTTAAGTGAAATATACAATATGTCCTTTTTCCCAGTGAAGCTTTGGGTGCCTTCAGTTAGCACTGAAGTAGTAAAGGGAATAATGAAGAAAAGCCTGGTGTCTGGCCTTATTGGTCTTTTTTCTTTTTTCCCCACAGGTCACGAAGGAAAACAGAGATAGCCTTTTACAAGAAATCGTGGCAACTGTGCAGAGCTGCCGAAAGTAATGCTCATTTGTGCCCCGTCCTTTGTGTCAGAGAAGTAGTGGCGTGTTTCAAGTGGTGTCTGATTGGTACTCAGCCCATTCGGCTTTTACGCCATCAGGTTTATGATAACTGAGTGCTTGAAACCTTTGTGGCTTCTCCAAAGAAATCTTGACAGATGTTTTCCATAAAGTGTTTAAAAGATCAAATTAGACTTAATGCTGGATTGACTATACAAGATTAACAATCCATTATGGTTTATTTATGCTTAAAGCTTTCTGTTTATTTCCTCTTGCAGTCGTGTGCATGATTTGGGTTAATTATGAAATGAGAAATGGTTTGGAGAATATTAGATGGAATTTGTCCCATTGAAGTTTATAAATGTGTTCAGGGGAAGAGGGAAAGAAGAGTTCACCACTTAATCAATTTTGCATGTCATGAAAATCAAATTCCTATCCAGGTGCATCATTAGTCTCGTGTAACTTAATGTGGCATAAGAGTTTGATTTATTACTATTATTACTCCAAAAGAAAATTGTTTAAAGTCCTTTCCCCATATTTTTGTTGTTGTTTGCTTGTTTATCCTTTACAAATATTCAAATAAATAAGATAGTTAAAAACAGGTGGAGACTCATATTGAACATATTAAGGCTTTAAAAAATTTGAATTCTCAGATGCACACATAGAGAGATAGTGTCACTCAAAAGGCTGGGTAATAGGGCTGGAAACTCAGGCCTTTTGAATTCTAATTTTAGCTATGCCATCCTTTGGCTGTGTTATATTAGATATGTTGCTTGACCTCTCTGTGTCTTGTTTTCTCATCCATAAAAGGAAGGAAAGAGATAAGAAAGATTGTCATCTTGAGATTATAATAAGGAACAGTTATAAAATTGATAAAGCTGATTAGTGGTTGAAATGGCACAAAGCACTTTTCTCACAACAACCCTGTGAGATAGGTAGTACAAATACTGTTTGTTTGTTTTTTCTGGTTTATAGACGAGCGGCTTCAGGCTGGAAAGATTCATTGACTTAGCCAGGGCCACAGAGCTCCTAAGGACCAGAGCCAGGATTTGAACCCAGGCCTTTGTTGAATCTAAACCTAGCATTCCTTCATCTCTATCACACTCACTCCCTTTATTGTATATAATATACAGAATGCCTTTAACAATGTTGTTAATACAAGTTACAGGCTTAGAATTCTGGCCTAATTTGAAGATAAAGCTCACCATACATGTACTTCTCAAAGGCTGTTCTGTTCAATTCAACAAGTATTTACTGAGGTCAGTCTAAGAAGCAGTTAGATTAAGTATGCACCCTGGTACTTGACATATAGCAGTAGTAATTACCACTGTGCAAGATGCTTGATATGGGGCAGCTGGGTGGTGAAGTAGAGCACTGGGCTTGGAATCAGGATGACTCATCTTCATGAGTTCAAATATGGTCTCAGACCCAGCTGTGTGACCCTGGGAAAGTCATTTAACCCTGTGTGCCTCAGTTTCCTCATCTGTAAAATGAGTTGGAAAAGGACATCACAAACCAATATCTTGGTTTGATAAAATAGATTTATCCAATATCTTTGCCAAGAAAACCCCCAAATAGAGTCATGAAGAGTTGGACATGACTGAACAACAAAGATGCTTGGAATAGAAAAAAGAAAAAAAAAAGAAACAACATCTCTCCTCAAATTGCTCATATTCTATTGGATACAGGAAGATGAATTAGCAGGTAATTATGACAGCCCAAATGAGATGTGACGGGGCAGGAGTGCAGGGTACAATTGTATCCTTTTGCATCTGTGCCCTTGTCTCACATAGCCAGTCAGAATTGTGGGCATCTATCAATTTTACTGATGTTAAACTCCCCAGCATGTTTTTTTCTCATCTGTAATCACAGACTAATACTTAAAAGAGGAGACTGGAAATTAAATTCGTTCCCTTCAAAGGTTCCCACAAAACTACTGCCATTTTTTGTAACGTTGGGCATGCCCTTAGACTACTTCAGTCAGTTGGACCACAAGCACTTATTAAGCACCTACCATGTGCCAGGCATTATGCTAAGGGATGAGTTGACAAAGTAAAACTAGTACCTGCCCTCAAGAAGTTTACAGTCTAATGTGGAAGACAACATACAAGTGAGTATGTGCATAGAAGGTATATACAGTATAAATGGAAGGTAACCTCAGGGAAAGCACTAGTAGAGAGGGAAGACACAAGGCATCTTCATGAAAATGGGATTTGAGCTGTATCTTGAAAGGCAAGGATGCTAGGAGGTGAAGGTGAGGAAGGAAAACCTTCCAGAGCTTGGGGTCAGCCAGTGCAAAGGCATGGGGAGGTGGCAAAGTGTGTGAGAAAAGGCTGATATGAAGCCTGACTTTGGTTTGCCAACCCAGACCAGAACAGGGCCCTTGATTACAAGCCAGTGTAGTCCTTCCCAAAAGTTTATAAAAGCTCAGTGTGTGTAAAGGGACCTTTTCTCTCTCCTACACAACCTAATCCTAGTGTTGCTTTTAGACACTAAATAAGTTTGGGCTTCCTCCAAAGGTCTACTCTAACGTACTCTCACATGGAGGTGAACCTAGATTCTTAAAGGCAATGGTAGTGGACCGTCATATCTGTCAAGGCTTCCAAGCTGGAAAAGCTTAGGCTGAGGCTCCGAAACACTGTAGCTGTCCCCTAAGGACCAGATGAGCTAAGTTTGAAGAGGCTCAAAATATGAGTATTAATTACCTGTTGGTGAGTTTATTCATGTGATCTGGGTCACTATTGAGGGAAAAAAAATAGAGGAAGTCTCCTGTCTTTGGAGAACAAGGTTGATCCATGCTGAGAAGATAGCATGAGCTTAGCTGCAGTAGCCTCCTGGCTACAAACTAAGCCAAGTGTGATTTACTTTGTACAAGGTCTCTTGCATCACTTTGAATTCATGCATCATTTCTGGTAAGAATGCTTGTTGTGTTCTCTTTCCAGGTCTGCATAGAACTATCCAAGTGGGCTCAATGATGTTTTAAAAGTGCTCCATGTGCTTACCCCTTCATATCTACATAAGAGGAGATTATTTTTTAATTTTTAAAAATTTATGATAAAAAAAAGTTTTATTGATCTTTTATCTTTTACATTGAAGTCATTGGCAGCTATTCCCTGCCCCTCAGCAAACAAGAAAAACCAACAGAGAAGGAAACTCTGATATTGTGTGCAACATCTCATACCCATACTGCCCCTGTCCCTTGTCCTCCAAAAGAAAGGAGAGTGGTACATCCCTTCTCCAGGGCCAAAGTTGGTCATTATAATTATATAGTGGAGAACACTAGATCTGAGCAGAGATTATTTTGTAGAATGGTGTAGGGTGTGTTCAGGGAAGATGAGTACCTCTAGTGTGATGGCTGCTGAGCCCTTTTCAGGGCAGCTTTCCACCGTTGGTGTCCATCTGTTCCACCTAACTCTCACCTGTGGCTCCAAAAAGCCGGAGCATGTGCAGTGGCCACACCCCAGTAAACCATTTTGGCAGGCGGGCTAAACTAGGTTGAGGGTAAACCTCTTGGTGAGTTAGGGGGGGTGTCTATCCCCAAGCATTATGAAGACTTCCCCTGCTGGAATGGGCGGATGAGAACAGTCTGTTCCACAGCCATGAAGGCAGCTGAAGCAGGCCCTGTGGAGTGCTGAGAGCTTGGTTAGACATTGAAGATGCCAGGGTCTTCCACTGCATCTTGAGCCATCACCAGTCATCTTGACTGCATCCTGCTGCTGGACTGTGGCGACTCTGGAGGAGACAGTGAGGCTGATGACTTTGTACAATTCTGCCTCACTTAAATCTAATTTATGTACTAATCAAAAGACGCCATCCATACCATTTTACCATTTTTACCTATGTCAGACTCCTGTGGCAACAGGCAAATGATGAGGCAGCATGTGCAGATACACTGTGAGCTGTAGTCACACACAGATGGCCCAGGCCGTAGGGTCGTTTTTTCACTGGAAGCAGCAGTGGGATTCAGCAGCCCTCTGGGTATCTAAGCAGCCTTTTAAGGATTGCACTGCTCACCTCCTGGTGTGAGGAAGGGGCTAGAAGAGGTGCCCTAAAGTCGTCTGCTTACCCAACCCTGGCCTGATTACCATAGCCAGGGGGGATTCCACCCTGTGGCTGAAACACAAAAACTTATGCAAAAATGTCTACAAAGACGATTCTACTCAATATTGGCACATGGACTGGGTTCACACTTAATAGACAACAGAAAATCAAAATCCAGTAGACCTGAAGGAAGAATAGCTCTTGTTGCAACAGAACTCAGCAGCATCACATCAAAGCAGCAGCCCTGAGTGAAAGAAGGCTGGCAAATGAGGGCCCGCTTATGAATATTGGAGCTGGACACATATTTTTCTGGAGTGGCCTCAGTGAAGAGGAGCACCATGAAGCTGGTGTAGGTTTTGCAATCAAAACTAATCTAGTCAACAAGCTGGTATGCCTCTCAAAAGGAGTGAAAGGCAGGCTTATGACAATGTGATTGCCACTTGCAGGAAAATGTCACACCACCATCATCAGTGCCTATTCTGCCACCGTGACAAACCCTGATGAGGTCAAAGAAAAATTTTATGAAGACCTGAAGATCTATATCATTAATATGCCAGAATAGGACAAGCTTATAATTCTGGGTGACTTTAATGCTAGAGCAGACTCAGACTACCAGACTTGGCAGGGAGTGCTAGGGAGGATTGAAGTTGTAAACAACAATAGCAGTGGTCACTTACTACTGTAGACTTGTGCATTTCATGACCTTCCATCATCAGTACTGTCTTCCATTTACCTAAATGCAATAAAACTTTGTGGATACACCATCACAGCGAACATTGGCATTTAATAGACTGTGTGATTGTAAGGAGAAGAGACAAGATGTGAGAGTGATGGAGGCAATGCTTGGCTCAGAGTGCTGGACCGACCCCAAGACAAAATGACTACCAGAAGAATTAATATCAACAGATTATAGCACTTCTCTGAGCAGGAACAGTTTGTTGCTAACTTGGAGGAAAAGTTGAGCCAACACACAGTTGGCAACAGTGGAGCAGAAAAGGAGTGGGCAGCTTTCAGAGATGTAATGTATAGCACTGCATTTGCTCATCTGGGTCAGAACACTCACAAACATCAAAACTGGTTTGATGAAAATGATGGGGAAATTGAGAAGTTGCTAAATGAAAAACGAGAACTCCACAGGATTTACCAGCAGAATAGTTCATCATCTCTAAGAAGGCAGCATTTAATTCCATCAAAAATAAAGTGCAAGCAAAGTTTAAGATTCTTGGCTCAGTAAGAAGGCAGATGAAATTCAGTTTCATGCTGATAGTAACAATCCAAAGCACTTTTATGATGCCCTGAAGGCTATTTATGGGCCAAAGACCTATGGTGCATCTTAACTACTCGGTGCTGATGGAGCCATGCTGATTAGTGATAAGGATGTGATCCTGCAGGGATGGGCCGAACGCTTCCATAGTGTTCTCAACAGAGCATCATCAATCAGCGCTGAGGCCATTGACCAGTTACCTCAGGTTGAAGTCAGCCCCTTCCTAGCTGAAGTTCCAGCTGAAGAAGGTTTTGAATGCCATTAGGCCCCTTTCCTGTGGCAAAGCACCTGGTGCTGA